CGCGGTGTCGCTAGATATCGCGAACGCGTTCAACTCCCTTCCGTGGCCCGTTATCAGGAAGGCGCTAGAGGAGAAGGGTGTCCCGGGATATCTCCGGGGCATCCTACATAGCTACCTGTCGGAGCGCGGCTTGGCATACATAAACCATGGGGAGCGTGTGGTCCGGGGACCGGTTACGTGCGGGGTTCCACAGGGTTTGGTCCTAGGGCCGACCCTGTGGAACATAGGTTACGATGAGATCCTTAGATTATACATGCCGATCGGGTGCGCGACTCTATGTTACGCGGACGACACCCTAGTGACGGCGAGTGCGGATAACTTCGAGGAGGCGCGTATCAGAGTGGAGATCGGCACCACGGCGGTGGTACGAGCGATAGAACGTTTGGGGCTTAAAGTATCGATTGCCAAGACCGAGGCCATTGCCTTTATGGCGGAAGGCATCCCGCGGGGGGCCGTGGTCCGCATAGGGGGAACAGTGGTCCCGATTGGCTCCACCCTGAAATATCTGGGCCTAATCCTGGATTCGCGGTGGACCTTCCGGGACCACTTTAATGCAGTCGTGCCGAAGGCATGGGGCCTTACGACATCCCTGGCCAGAATAATGGCAAACATAGGGGGACCTGGCGAGCGAAGAAGGAGGACATACGCGGCGGTCGTCATGTCCGTTGTCCTGTACGGTGCACCCATATGGGCGCAGACGGCGGCGGAGGATCGCGGAATCCGAGGGGCGGTGCGGAAGTTACAGCGGCAACTCACCCTCCGTGTAATCAGGGGGTACCGCACTATCTCGGGCGAGGCCGCGGCCATCCTTTCTGGGATGGTCCCCTTCGACCTAGCGGCGAACCGTCTCAGACGGTCTTATCTCCGGAGACGGGAGATTATTGCCCGGGATGGTGCGGTGGCCCCTGGTGTGAGCGCGACTGCTGGAAATGGAGCGTCGCAGAGTAATCGCTAGATGGGGTAGACGGATAGAGGAACTGCCCCCGAGTGGCCCGGGAGCGAGCGTACGCGAGGCCATGGGCGGCGATCTGGAGACGTGGACAGGGAGGGCGCATGGGGCCCTCACATACCGCATGACACAAATCATGACGGGGCACGGGGTGTTCGGGGCCTACCTGTATAGGATAGGACGGATGAACACCCCGATATGCCTATTTTGTCGAGCAGCCAATGACACGGCGGGGCACACCCTCCTGTTCTGTCCAGCTTGGGCGGAGCAGAGGGTGGGCCTCTTAGATATAATCGGAGTGGACAGAACGTTCAGGGCGGTGGTGAGGGCCATTGTGCGCTCCCCCGAAGCGTGGGCCGTTTTTGCAACGTTTTGCGAGGCGGTTATGAGGAGCAAGGAGGAGGACGAGCGCGCCCGCGAGCGGGAGCAGGCCGCTCCTCCGAACGGATGAGGCTCCGATGATCGATATGTGTGAGGAGCAGAGGCGTGTGTAAATAGTATGTATGTAAATAGTAGTTTTTAAGCTCCAATGACCGCCATGTGAGAGGAGCAAGAAGGCGTGATTTTGCAATAGGCAAAACTGTACATAGACAATTAGTTAATTTAGTAATGTAGACATAAGCTAGTTAGGCTAGCACTCGAGCGGAGAACCCGCTATAAGGAGGTAGGGAGCCTAATGACTCCAAAGGCTGGGGGGGCAGTCCGAGGTTATGCTGAAATGCGGTTCCGGACTGCCCCTAATAGGCAATGGCGGTAGTACGCTTGGGGGAGTTTTTAGTCGGTAGGCGGCCGTCTCGGTGCGTCCCTGCGGTACCTTGTACCCCAGGGATCACGAGACGGTCGAATCCGGCACTCCCGACGGTACGGGCCGTCGGGGGTCTTCCCCTCCCCGATGGGTGTCCCGAAAGGGTCCCCCTCGGGGAGGGGTATAAGAAGATTTTCTCCTCCCACGTAAAACAAAAAAAAAAAGTGTAGTGAGTTTCAGAGATAAGCATTACATCAATATTCTGGATTTTTAAAAAAGTTTCTAATTCGTTTTTGTGATTGGATAAGCCATTGGCATTCCAGATTGCTAGCTGTAAGCTCAACATTGTGTCATCTTAGAGACTATTGTAGTAAGTAGATTTAGCATAGTACTTATCTGTTCCATGAGTCCTTTCATCACGGATTTCAGTTCTTGAAGATCGCTAGATTACTGAATTTGTTGCTGTTGATAGTTATTCAACTTAGAGTTTGTTGTGTGATGTTCTTGTATCCTTTGATTGGTTGTTGCCTGTGCATAAGTAAGACCAGGACGAATAGGCTCGGAAGACCTTGGTTGTGCTATCGACCTCGGGGCTTGTGTCTGGTTCTCCGCAGCGTTCTGGTTCGTTACTGTTGTTTTATTTCTCAGAGTCGGATATTGTGCTTTACGCAATTGTTTGTATATTATGCAGCCCTTATAGTTGGCAGAGTGATTCCCTTCGCATAATACGCATTTGACTTGATCTGACCTTTCTTTGCGCAGGCAGTCTGATGTTACAGCCTGTACACTTAACACATCTCGGTGGACGAGAGCAAAAGTTTTTCGTATGGCCGTATCGTTGACAGTTAGTGTATTGCGGTATTTCGCGGGTATAGTGTGGCGCTTCAAACTTGATTTTCATGTTAAGTAAATATTCAATCGTGTATATGCTTTTATTATTATCTGCTGGTTCCAGCTCTATTGCGAACAAGGATAGGGGCTTTTTTGTCATTTTCTGTCGCATATTTACGATATTTCGTATTTTATATCCATGACTTTCTACTTCCTCCTTTATGCTGTCTATTTCTGTAGAATGATGCATATGACATAACATCACTTTGAAGGGTTTTTCTTGTTTTTTTTTTGGTAAGTATGGTATTCTGTATTTTTTTCCTTTAATGATGCAATTATTATGTCATAAGCTTCGATACTCTTCGCTTGGACCTTAACTTGTTCTTGACTTTGGACTTTAGTATAGTAATTATCTTTAGCAATTGTGTTAAGCAGATTTATTAGTGGAATAATGTTACCAACACCCGAAATGAGTATAGGTGGGGGTTTAACTGATTTGTCAGTATTTACTATTTCTTGAGATTCCTGGCTTTCCAAGGTTTCAAATCTGTTTGTTGTGGTAACTGGTGTACCTAGCCAATAGTCAACAATCTTTGTTTGTTTTGAATTACGGCTTATGTCCTTACTATTTTCCGGGCTGGATCTTGGACGTTTTTTATTTCCCGCTATTTGCCATTCGCCTTCAGGTATTGCGTTATTATTATTCGGTAGTGACGTCGTCAATCGACCAGACGTTTGACTCAGCGAATTAAATTCGCTGGAATGCTGCATTGCTACAGTTTTCTTGCTGCTGGCCGTCACGGCCGCGGATTCCTTACACCAAATCAATATGCTATAACTCGCGTTTTAACTATGTTTTCACTCGGTGTAATTAATATCGCGTGACAAATCGCAGAGTTGATCACGATATTGCTGTTTATTTGTGAGCGCATTATACTACGTCCGTACTGTACGACGGCTCGAGCGAGACTGATTTACACTTGAGAATTTTTAATTTGTTACATAATAGATTGAAATTCACTTTGGAATTTGGTAACGACAGAAAAAATTGTTTAGACATTACCATTATCAATAATAATTTTATTGAATTTGACTGATATCATAAGCCTACGTTCTTGGGAAGATATCTAAACTTTTTATCTTCGTATTCATTCTCACAAAGGAGGCATAATAATAGGCATGACGGATAGAACTTATTTGTTATCAAATACTCAATATAAAAAAAATTTTGAGCATATAGTTAGCATATTATTAAAAAATGATTATCCGACCGATCTAATTTTTAACACTATTAACGCACAACTGAAAATTCTGATTCATAAAGGAAGGAAACAACAGACTAAATCAAAAGATAAAATTAATAGAGGTTGCGCCTCTTGGTTCCTTACATCCTTAAAATTTCGGATGAATTTAAAAGAATTAGCAACACCTTTAACACCAAATTAGCTTTCACCAGTTTAAACAAATTGGACTTTGATAAGGGTACAAAAGGCATCCCCTCCTATGAGAAAAGAAGAAAAATGTAGTTCATAAAATTTCGTGCAGATCCTGTGATGTTTCATATGTCGGGCAGACAGGAAAGAAACTTAAAACTACAGTGTTGGAGCGTCGTAATCACATTAACCGTAATAATAATAATCACTCGTAATTACAAAACATTGAATTAATTTTGAATATGACTTCGACTGGGAGAATGTTGCAGTACTAGATGAAGAACGTTTCCTTAATAAACGACTAATATCAGTAATATCTGAATGTCTCCATATCCTTATGCAAAAGAACAATCTCAATTTGCGTTCGGATACGGTTAATATATATCACACTTATATACAGTCATTAAAAGACATAAAATAATTTTATCTAGTTGACTTATGTAATCCCCTGTAATTATTTATATATTAACAACGCCCCTTCTTTTAATATTTATTTCTGTGATCAATACATGTCACTTATTATACAGTGATGGGAGAAAGTTCGGCAACGGTCAAATATCTTGAAAAATAATGCTTATGGAAAAAAATGTTCAATACAAAAGTTTTAGTATATCAAGTGGTCTATTATATGGTTATGTTGAAATGACCTTCATGTGACCTTGAAGGACACCGTGAAGGTCAACTTTGAAATCTTAAATGGAAACACCAATTTTCTCTTACATATCCTTAAAGCTGGTGT